ACCCAACTCCGGCTTCTTATCACAGTTTCATCTAGTGCCCAGCTGAGACTCACATGCCCTGAGAATGAGGCTATGCCATCCCAGGTCAAAATTCCTAGGACAGAGAATCCTATTGGCCCAGCTCTAGCCAGGTGTCCACCCCTGGTCCAATCAACTGTTCCTTGCCTAGAAGCCCCAAGACAGTTCCCAGAGCCAGAGCCCTGGGCCCTGTGGTAGATGCTCAGCCCCACTGCATTCTTCTCCAGCCTCTCTCTCTGAGGACAGCACACCCCTGGTAGGAAACTCTCTCTAACTAAAGCCCTGCCTGGGAGAGAGGAGGACACCCTTTCCCCTGGCTTATGATCTCACACCTGCTCATTTTCTCCCCAGGTTCATTGGCCTAACCACAGTACTGCTCAAGCCGTTGTTGAAACAACCAAGTGAGGTCCTTTTTGTGAAGGACTTGACCCTGCTCAACCATTCTATGAAGCCCACAGATGTGAGTCAGGCCCAAGAAGGCCCAGGCATGGTGGCTGGAGGAATGGGGCAGCTGGTGAAGTGCCCCACACCATGGGAGTGCTTCCTGCCCGGGGCCCCCATCACACTGCCTTCCTCTCCTGACTCCCACTGTTGCTGTCATCAGCAGATGAATTGATCGCCTTCCACGGGGAGTCAAGCACTGTGCTAGGCCCTATGGTACAAAACTGTCTGAAGCCCACAGTCTGTTGGAGTAGGCTCCAGCACACATGGGACAAGGTTCAGTAAAGCAAGGCCACTGGCTCAGGTCAGGAGGGAGCAAACGATTCCTCTCAGGAGGTCATGCACAGCTTTACAGAGAGGGTGATGTTTAAGACATATGGAAATGTAGGAAAACCACCCAAATGAAAACAAGTAAAGGCTAATTTATTCAGAGCTTGTGCTAGCAAGGGACTTGGCCATCATCATTTGTGTTTTGGCAAAGACTCAGAGGCAGACAGGGGAGTGGAAGAGCTTTTACTGGAAAGAAGGGAAGGCTGCAGGTGTGCCCTGATTGGAGGCTAACTAGAAATGGGGCCTCCCATGTGATCGGTTAGAGGGGCATGTTTGGCTCTCTCTAACTGATCCAAAGTTGGAAGTGGGAACAAAAATTAAGGCAGCTGGCAGTTATTAATCAGGTCCTGGCCATTTGGAGCTGATCATTATTGTTTGGCTTCCTGGATTATTGCTAGAGACAGCAGTCTGACCGCCTACCAGTCTGACTCGGAGCAGGTTTGCTTCCTAGGCTGGTTACTGTACATAACAGGTTGATTTCCTGGGCTGATTGCTGTAGATATCAAGAAAAGAACTTGTGTGGATCTGAGTTGTTTTTTTTTGTTTTGTTTTGTTTTTGAGACAGAGTTTTGCTCTTGTTGCCCAGGCTGGAGTGCAGTGGCATGATCTTGGCTCACCACAACCTCTACCTCCCAGGTTCAAGCAATTCTCCTGCCTTAGTCTCCTGAGTAGCTGGGATTTCAGGCATGCACCACCACACCCGGCTAATTTTGTAGTTTTACTAGAGACCAGGGTTTCTCCATGTTGGTCAAGCTGGTCTCGAACTCCCAACCTCAGGTGATCCACCCACCTCAGCCTCCCAAACTGCTGGAATTACAGGCATGAGCCACCACGCCTAGGCTGAGTCTTATTTTCTATGTAGTTTGGCCATTGTCCATTTGTATACAGATAGTCTGTGACTCACAATTGTTGACTCATGGTCAACAATATTGTGTGGTTTATCAGGATGTGATTCATAAGTCAAGGAGCTTTCAGTTTGTCAGCTGAGTTGTAAGGAGGGGCATGAGTCTTCCCAATGGACAGGAAAGGACGACCAGCCCAGCAGGGGCATAAAGTGGGTGGAGCAGGAGGCAGGGTGAGGGAGGTTGTGCTGTACTGTTGGCACATGGTGAGGGTAGGAATAGGGGTGGGAGAGCTGAGGCTGTGTGGGCTGCATGGGCTAGAGGTGAAAGGCCTTGTGGTCCACGCTGGTGAATTGTGACTTAACTTTGATCATTTAGATACTTAGGGGTCTGGAGGCTGGGTGGGTAATGGGAGCACATGAAGGAAGGAGCTCAGTTAGAAGGAAGGAGTGTACAGGGGCTCCCACATGAGCTCATAAGATGCTGGGCTGGGAGAGAGCTGCTAGCATCTGTGTTCTGGGCTCAAGTCACCTCTTCCTCTCCTCCCCATCCTTTAGCATCCTCTTCTGCCACCATCATCACCATGTGGCTGCTTTATTCAGCAAACATCCCCTCCACTGTCACCCATTGCTCTCTTCTCATCCATTTATAACCTCCCTCCACCCAGATTGTGCAGAGGCCAAATAGTGTGGCCCCATCCCTCCCATGGCTAGCATGAGGCCCCACACCAGGAGGACCAGATGTGAACCCAACCAGGCTGCACAGGGCTTGAGTGCTCTGTCCAAGGATGGCAGGGTCTGGCTTACAGCTCCCCTGCCTTTGTCTTGCAGTGTACTGTCACCCTACAGGTGGCCTACATAAGCAACCAGGATATTGAGAAAACAGGTATGTCCTTCCCTGGAGCTTACCCTTAAGGGCTTACCCTGCCCTGCTCCATGCACAGCTGGATGGGTTCTTGGGGACCTTCAAGACCCAGTTCTTGAGGCCTGCAGAAGGAATGTGACCAGGCTAGGGTCCCTGGAAGCTACAGGGTCTAGAGGCCAGATCTCCAAACATCTGGCTGAGGCCATCCCAATATGCCCATTCATCATCTCTAGACATAAGACCTGTAAGATATAAAACATAAGTCTCCAAGAGGCTGCAGAGAGATGAGGATGGTCATCTCCAAGAGCCCCAGTGTGTGGAGTGGGATCCAGGGATCTGTAGTTCCTAAGGGTGGAAGGGCCCATGGCAATGTTCTGGGGAGGACATGTGTCCCTGTTGGGGCCTCTTGGTCATGCTTTTAGTCAGGAGATGGTCATTGGGACAGAATGATGGAATGGGGAAAATGCCTTAAACCTCCTGGGCCCCAGGCCTCTGAGCCCACCCTGGACTGTGTCTCTCCAGGAGCTGAAGACTTCCTGGGCGTAACAGCAAGAGAGACGGCTAGGCAGAAACTGATGGTCCCTGGCTCCACCATGCACCGGTCTCTGTCCTCAAAGCCTCAGCACTTTCAGGTGAGGACCCTCCAGGTTGCAAATTCATGTGACCCACCTGACACCCTTGTTTGTGTGTTCCTAGGTCATCTTCACCCCCTCCCAAGGTCATGGTAGAAGGGCAGAGCTTCAGACCCAGCTTCAGGCCCTCAGATCCTCGCCATATCCCCTGCTCCTCTCATGGCCATTCCAGAAACTTCTGCATGTAGCTGAAGCCACATAACTCCAGTGAGGCAGTAGGAGGGTCAGCTGTGCACTGGCAGGCCCTGGTACCTGCTTGGAAAGCAGCGCAGATGACAGGGATCCTGCCCTCCCAGAGCCCTCGGGTTGTTGGCAAAACAAAGTGGGGCACAGACAAAGTTAAATTAACTGCACAGGAGAGGCTGGGGACTGTCTGATCTGAGGGGACCTATGGGAAGGTCCACATTTCCATGCGAATTCAGGAACCCTCATCTCACAGCTTATCAACTTCCCTCTGGCTTCTAGCCTGTGGCCTAACATTCCTGCCATGGTTTTATCTGCTCCCCAGCCTGCTCCTTTGCCCAGGAGTCTGGGAGTCTCCTGGACCGCTCCTCTTCCTGCATCCCAGTGGCCAAGTCCTAGCTCTTAACATCACCCAGCTGCTCCCATTTCTCCCTCACCACTTCCGTTCCCTGGCCTGAGCCATCACCATCCATTCCCTGGACCACATCAGTAGCCTTCTCCTGAACTCCCAGCCTCCAGCTCTCTCTGTCCATTCTTCAACCAAAGTGGCCTTTCAAAAATGTCACTCTTTTGTTTTGTTTTGTTTTTTTGAGGTGGAGTCTTGCTCTGTCGCCCAGGCTGGAGTGCAGTGGTATGATCTTGGCCCACCGCAACCTCCCCTCCCGGGTTCAAGTGATTCTCCTGCCTCCCTGAGTAGCTGGGATTACAGGTGCACACCACCATGCCTAGCTAATTTTTGTATTTTTAGTGGAGACAGTCATGGGGTTTCACCATGTTGGTCAGGCTGGTCTCCAACCCCTGACTTCATGAACCACCCATCTCAGCCTCCCAAAGTACTGGGATTACAGGCGTGAGCCACCTTGCTTGGCCAAACGTGTCACTTTTATCATGCCAAGCACCTTCTTCAAAAACCCCAGTGTCCTCTGCAAGAGATCCAGTTCCTTTTACAATGGCTTCCAGGCCCTTAATAACCCAAGTCTGTCTCTCCAAATCCATCTCCTCCTAGCCTTCTCCAGTGGATTGTCTCTCTTCACTGTGGCTAGAGCTAGAATGTTTTCATTTTCTTTTCTTTTCTTTTTCTTTCTTTTTTTTTTGAGACTGAGTCTTGCTCTGTTGCCCAGGCTGGAGTGCAGTGGCATGATCACAGCTGACAGTCTAGACCTCTGGGCTCAGGTGATCCTCCTACCTCAGCCTCCCAAGTAGGTGGGACTATAGGCATGCACCACTATGCCCAGCTAATTTTTTTGTCTGTTTTGTAGAGACGGGGTTTTGTCATGTTGCCCGGTCAATCTGGTCTCAAACTCCTGGGCTCAAGCAATCCTCCCACCTCAGCCTCCCAAAGTGCTGGGATTACAGGCATGAGCCACTCACTGCACCTCGCCTAGAACGTTTTCTTATCAGAACAATTTTGTCTCAGCTGGAGAAGGTGGGGCCAAGGCCTTCAATATCAGCTCCCCATGTGTTCTCCTCTTAGGTTCGAGTAAAGGTGTTTGAAGCCCGACAGCTCATGGGCAACAACATCAAACCAGTGGTGAGGGTGTCCATTGGAGGCCAGCAGCACCAGACACGTATCAAGATGGGAAACAACCCTTTCTTTAACGAGGTGGGCTGCACAGGGCACATCAGGCAAGGAGCCAGCCAAGGGCTGGGCATTCCCAATGGGCAGCTGGCAAGCTTGCACCTTGACTAGGGTATCTGCATGTGTTTGTTCCACAAGCATTTATTGAGGACAAAGCACTGAAAATACAGAACAGAATAATTCAGAGCCCTCTATCTGAGGAGCTGGTGGGCTGGTGGGGGCATAGCTCATGAACCCATAAACAATTACAGTGGAGCAGATCGTGGTTGACAGAGGTTTGGGGGCATTGTTATTGGAATCTTGAAGTACAGACCCAGACCACATACATCCCATTGCTGCTGGAGTCTCAAATTGTAGCACTGTCTGATACACAGTAGGTGCTCCATAAATACTTGCTGAATTAATTAGTAAACGAACAAATAAAAGATAAAAGTAGAGTGGAAGCTGGGAGGAGTAAGTGAGTAATGAGGCTGGGGGTGGTGGAGAGACTCAGAAGGGCTCCAGCAACTCTGAAGGAAGATTTTACCAGGAAAAGACAGACAGGATGGGAGAAGATAATTCAGGAAAAAGTGACGGTGTTTTCAAAGCCCTAGAAGCAAGCAAGCCGCAGACTTGACAGCAGAACTATAGCTATGTGTGTGACTGGAGGAGACTGGTTGGAGGGGAGCCTACAGTGTGGGCTGGGGTCCCATCCTGGACAGCACTTAGGAGCCATGCAGGACTTAAGCAGGGGAGTGACAAGCCTAGGTTTGCATTTGGGAAAAGAGTTTCTGGCTGCCATGGATGGGAGAGACAGAGTGGACTGGCAGGGCAATCTAAAGGAGATGTGAGCTCAGATCTCCATCCTGGGCAGCTAGCTAGGCCCTGAGTTCTCCAGGGATCTCCTAACCTTCCCCATTCCGAGCAGAAAACTCTCCAGGAGGCTGGGCGCAGTGGATTTCACCGGTAATTTCTAGCACTTTGGGAGGCCCTGGTGGCTGGATCACCTGAGGTCCAGAGTTTGAGACCAGCCTGACCAATATGGCAAAACCCTGTCTCTTTTGTAAAAATACAAAAATTAGCCGGACATGATAGCAGGTGCCTGTAATCCCATCTATTCAGGAAGCCGAGACAGGAGAATCATTTGAACCTGGGAGGTGGAGGTTGCAGTGAGCTGAGGTCGCACCACGGCACTCCAGCCTGGGTGACAGAGCAAGACTCCATCTCAAAAAAATAAATAAATAAATAAAACCCTCCAGGAGCTCAGGAGGCCTCTGTTTCTGAAGTGTAAGAGTAGTAGTGGCACAAGTTGAGTACCTCTTACCCAAAATGCTTGGTATCAGAAGTGTCTTAGATTTCAGTTTTTTTTTTTGGATTCTGGAATATTTGCATGATACCAGTTCAGCATTCATAATATGAAAAGCTGAAACCCAGAATGCTCCAGTGAGCATTTCCTTTGAGGGTCATATTGGCACTCAGAAAGTTTCAGATTTTGGAGCATTTTGGATTTCAGATTTTTGGATTAGGATTACTTAACCTGTACTTATAAAGCCATTAAGAGGGTAAAGTTGTGGGAAGAAGCACATTATTCTGAGCTTTCCGGTTTACTGAGTGCTTGTGTGAAGTGGTGGAATAAATCATCCACTCTACCCTAATTCTTTCTGCCTCAGATCTTCTTCCAGAATTTTCATGAGGTTCCTGCAAAGTTCTTTGATGAGACCATCTTAATCCAGGTGAGGAGCCAAACTGGTCCCCAGCAAAGTGTGTTTCTTGTCCCACTTCAATACTGGGATCCATTGCAACTTCCAGCCTTAGAGCCAGAGTCACTTTAAATTGTCTTCTGACCCCCATCATTTTCTTCAACCCCTGGCACACAGATTCCTCATTCATTCAACAAACGTTATGGATTCCCAACTGCCAGGCCCTGAACTGGGTGCCAAGGTGAACAAGGCTGCCCCTTCCCATACGCCAGGATTCTCAAGCCACCAAAGGTCCCTCCAAGTGAAAATTTCTATTCCTTAACCAGAGGGAGCCCAGTAACAATGGTGAACATGTGGTTATCAAGTGCCTACTGTGTGCCCAGCACAGGGCTAAGGAGAACAAAGAGGCCTCTTCTTTTGAAGAGTTTACATGTTCTTGGGAACAAAGGCACAACCAAGAGAGCATGTAATGGATAAAGTTAAGTGCAACACCTTGCTTTGGGTTGACTCGGGGCAAGGAAATTGGCCTCTCTGATCAATTTCCTCATCAGTAAAATGGAACTAAAAATCTGAACATCACAGGGTCCCTCTGAGAGTTAAATGAGAAAACCCATCTGCAAGTGTCAGCCATTAGGAAGCATTCAAGACATTGAGAGATCCTGGACGGGCCTTTGCTATTCCTCTTACAGAAGGTGAGGGAAATTGGGATTGTGAATAATTAAAATATTTCCAGGAACTTCCTTGCAGGTGGTAAACTCCTCAGCAATGAGATACAAAGCAGAGATCGGGAGATTTCAAGTGAGTACTGTATATGGGAGGAGATTTGGTGAAACAGTTATAATAGAGACCCACACTGGGCTCCATGCCCAAGTCTAGGGGAAAGGACTTGGATTTTCACACAGAAAGATCCAGACTTGGATCCACCTACCAACTGGGTGACTTAAACAAGTAATTCTGAGCCTCTACTTTCTCATCTATAAAAGGGGATAATAATATACTCAATCTGGAAGGTGATTGTGAGGATTAAAGTATATAACATTTATGAAAGCTCAGGGTGCCATGTTAAATTCCCTATACCCATAATACTGTGGGCACAGTTCAAATCACTGCCTCCAAAAAGTAAAAGCAAAGGAACCAAAAGGTCAACCTACATGTTAGAGAAACTCAGAAAGATTGCTGCCCGTGAGGGCAGAGTGAAAAGATGTGATTTAGAAAGACAGGCTAAGAGATTAGGAGAGTTTACAGTTATGATGCGCTAAACTAAGATTCTCCAAATCCAAAAGGTAGGTTGCTAGGTTAAATACAGGATGCCTGGTTACATTTAATCTTAGATAAACAACAAATACATTTTAAATATAAGTATGTCCCAAATGTTACATGGCTTCTCACCAAATATTGCAGGGGACATATGTGTATTAACAAAGTAGTAATTGTTTATCTGAAATTTTAAGTGGGCATCTTCTATTTTTATTTACTAAATCTACAATGTTAGCAAAGAGGCACCACCCTTGCAAAAGGCAAAAAACAAAACACACACACACACACACAGACACACACACTCACAAAAAAAAAAAACCACAGAGGGAAAAAGAGATTCTAGAAATTTTAGATGGTAGGAGGTAAAAAATGTTGTGCTCTTGACAAAGGCCATTGCGTGGTTTCCAGACAATGACCAACGACGTAAACTGACCAAGTTATAGAGGTCGGAGAAAACCTGAGCTTGACTGAGCTTCCTATTTTTTCTTTTTGAGACTGGATCTTGCTTGTCACCCAGGCTGGAGTGCAGTGGTGTTGTGATCATGGCTCACTACAGTCTCAAACTCACAGGCTCAAGCAATCCTCCCACCTCAGCTTCATAAGTAGCTGGGACTACAGGTGTGCGCCACTGCACCTGGCTAATTTTAAAATGTTTTGTAGCGAATAGGTCTCACTATGTCACCCAGGCTGGGCTCAAGTCATACTCCTACCTCAGCCTTTCAAAGTGCTAGGATTACAGGCATGTGTCTACCACACCCAGCCAAGCTTTTTTTTAAAAAATATTTCTTTTTATTTTGGTATCATGAACTCCCATATCCTCATCACTCAACTTCACCAGTTCACAGTCAATTGTGTTTTACCTACACCTCGCTCTCTTCCCCTTTACAACTGGATTATTTGGAATCAAATCTCAGGCATCATATCATTTTATCTTTCTACATTTCAGTATGTATTGTGAAACATAAGGATTTTATTAAGCATAACCACATACAATTATCACATCTAAAAACCTTTATAATTCCTAGGTAGAATTAAATACCTAGTCAGTTCAAATTCCCCTAACTGTTTTACATATTTCTTTTACGGTTTGTTCAAATCAGGATTCCAGGATGGGTGCGATGGCTTACGCCTGTAATCCCAGCACTTTGGGAGACTGAGGCGGGTGGATCACCTGAGGTCAGGAGTTCTAGACCAGCCTGGCCAACATGGTAAAACCCTGTCTCTACTAAAAATACAAAATTAGCTGGGCGTGATGGCACATACCTGTAATCCCAGCTACTCAGGAGGCTGAGGCAGGAGAATCATTTGCACGCAGGTGGCAGAGGTTGCAATGAGACAAGATTGTGCCACTGCACTCTAGCCTGAGAGAAAGAGACTCTATCTCAAAAAAACAAAAACAAGGCTGGGTGTGGTGGCTCACACCTGTAATCCAAGCACTTTGGAGGCCAAGGCGGGCGGATCACCTGAGGTCAGGAGTTCAAGACCAGCTTGACCAACGTGGTGAAACCCCGTCTTTAAAAAATAAATAAATAAATAAATTCTTTTTAAAAAAAGAAAAAAGGCTGGGTGTGGTGGCTCACGCCTGCAATCCCAGCACTTTGGGAGGCCGAGGCGGGCGGATCACTAGGTCAAGAGATTGAGACCATCCTGACCAACACAGTGAAACCCTGTCTCTACTGAAAATACAAAAAAAATTGCCTGGCATGGTGGCACGCACCTGTGGTCCCACCTACTTGGGAGGCTGAGGTGGAAGAATCACTTGAACCCAGGAGGCAGAGGTTGCAGTGAGCCGAGATTGCGCCACTGCACTCCAGCCCGATGAGAGAGCAAGACTCCATCTCAAAAAAAAACAAAAAACAAAAAACAAGTTAGAATTCCAAACCAGGTCCATTCATTGCAAGTAGTTAATATGCATTTTAGTTTCCTTTTACTCTGTTGGTCTTCTCTGCTCTCCCCATTTCCTCTTTTTCTAAAATTTGCAACTTATTTGTTAAAGAAACTGGGTAATTGGACCTGTAGCATTTTCTCCAGTCTGCACTTTGCTGATTTCATCTTTAGGGGATCATTTTGCATTCTCCCACCCCATTTCCCCATCTAAAGTTTAGATCAGTCTGGGCCAATTAGTTGGCAAAGTGACTTCAGCAGAAGGCACAGAATGTCTGGTCTCTCTTTTTTTGTTGTTAATAGCTATTGATGATTGCCTGGATCTATTGCTTTGTTAGAGGTGACTGAGTTTTTGTTCTGTTTTATTTATTTTATTTTTTGAGGCAGAGTCTTGCTCTGTCATCCAGGCTTGAGTGCTGTGGTGCGATCTTGGCTCACTGCAGCCTCCGCCCCCCAGGTTCAAGCAATTCTCCTATTTCAGCCTCCCGAATAGCTGGGATTACAGATGTGCACCCCAACGCCCAGCTAACAGGTGTGAGCCACTGCACCCTGTGGTGTATGTTTAACTTTTTAAGGAAATTTTCTAAAAAAAATTTTTTCCCAAAATTCCAAACAGGTTCTGCTATTGTACATGCCCACCAGCAGTGTATTAGAGTTCCAGTTGCTCCACATTCTCCACAGTACTTGATCTAGTCTATCTATTTTAGTCATTCTCATGGTGTGTAGTAGTATTTTATTGTGATTTTAATTTAAACCTTCCTAATGATTAATGACGTTGAGCATCTTTTCATCTGCCTGTCATCTGTATATTTTCTTTGGTGAAATGTCTGTTCAAATCTTTTGCTTGTTTTCATTGGATTGTTTGTTTTCTAACTATTGATATATGATTTGCAAATATTTTCTTCCAGAATATGACAGCCCTTTCATTTTCCTAACAGTGTCTTTCAAAAGCAGACATTTTTCTTTTTTTCATATATATATATATATATATTTTTTTTTTTTCAGAGATGGGGTTTCACCATGTTGGCCAGGATGGTTTGGATCTCTTGACCTCATGATCCGCCCGCCTCGGCCTCCCAAAGTGTTGGGATTACAGGCAGGAGCCACTGCGCCCAGCCGAAAGCAGACATTTTTCATTTTGATGAAGTCCAATTTATCAGCTTTTCTTTGATGGGTTGTCCTGTATTGCTGTAATAAGAACACATTATGGGTGGCTATAACATTCTGTGGCAACTTGCCCCACATACATCACTTTCCATCCCAAGTCACAACCGAGGTAGGAAACTATCTCCAAGAGGAAAGATAAAACCTGTAGTTTCTTTGTCAACTTCTACCTCTTACCTTTACCATCCTCTTCCCCCCGGACTGGTGAGTCCCTTCCCTGACCCAGGGGTAGGATAGAGTCAGGGCTGTGTTGGTTGAGAGGGTGGCACAGCACAGTGTTAAGGAACTTTTCCATGCAGGCTTTCTCACTGACTGGTTTAAGACTTTGGGCACCTCTCTCAAACTCAGTATCTTCCTCTGCAGATTACAGGTGATAATGGGCCTACCTTCCAGGCTGCTGTAAAGACAAAAGGAGTTAGGGCAGAGAACATGCTCAAGCACCAGCTGCTAGTAGTATTCTCAGGTTAGCTGGTATTACAAATCTTGGCTGGAGGCCCTAACTAATCCTCACTCCACTCTTGTCTTTTCAGACAGATATTGGGTTTATCTACCATTCTCCAGGTAGGTAACACTTATGGCAAATATTTATGTCTTTTGAGAAAAATCAGGCCAGGGGTCAGAATATCTTAAAATCCCCAAATGTCTAACACATAGGTGGAGGGGAGTGTTAGAGGTTGTAAATTATTTTCTGTATTTGATAATATTTTACTGTACATTGTGGTATTTTTATTTTATTTTATTTTTTGAGATGGAATCTCACTCTGTCGCCCAGGCTAGAATGCAGTGGTACAATCTTGACTCACTGCCAACTGGGTTCAAGCGATTCTCCTGTCTCAGCCTCCTGAGTAGCTGGGATTACAGGCATGCACCACCACACCTGGCTAATTTTTATATTTTTAGTAGAGACGTGGTTTTGCCATGTTAACCAGGCTGGTCTTGAACTCCCGACCTCCGGTGATCCACCCGCTTAAGCCTCCCAAAGTGCTGGGATTACAGGTGTGAGACACCATGCCCGGCTTATTTTACTTTATAATAATAATAGCTTTCTCTGAAAAACTCAGGACATACTTTTGGGTCAAATGCTAGCCTTTTATTACAATCCTAGCATAGATTTCTATTTTTTGAGGCCAGTATTGGGAGATTAAAGTTTGAATGGAAATTTCCACCCTGCCTGGCTATAACAAACACACCAGGTTGAGGAAAATGCTTGGCTCTACAGTGTCTGGTTCCAGACCAGGCCACAGTGAGAACACTAGGTTCCCAAGGCATAAACAGGGGTCCCTGTTTCCCAGAGGCAACAGCTGGTAGCCTTGTGAGTACACTATCATTGCTTCATGGTGTGAGTGACTCCCCTTTTTCTCTGCCGCTGGATGGAAAGCAGAATGCCTGAGACATATTTCCAGCTCCCCCTCCTCCTTAAACAAAGACTGCTTTCAGGGGAGAGGGAAGGAGACTGGAGGTGGATCTCCCATGGCCCTTCTGCCTCTCTAGGTCACACACTCCTAAGGAAATGGCTCGGCCTCTGCCAGCTAAATAACCCCAGCAGTGGTGTGAGAGGCTACTTGAAAGTCACCATCTGTGCCCTCGGTGTGGGAGATCAGGCCCTGGTGAGCTGCCCCTAATGCCCAAGGAATCTTTCCTGGCTGCCTCCTGGGGGTACCCCTGGGCCCCACCCTGGACATTGACCATCACATCTCTCCTTTGTCTGCTACATCACTGCAGGGTTGTCCCATCCCCCCTGTATCAAGTGGGAGGCTGGGGAAGCAAAGTCTGGTGGCTTTGCCAGTGACCTTCCCATGACCTTGACCATATCAACTCTCTGGTCTTCCCAGGCAGATCAAAAGTTGCTCTATGGGGCTGATGACACCGATATTCAGATCTTCCGGTCAGCGGCAGTCCCGATCAACATGGCTTACTTACAGTTCTTCATCTACTGTGCAGAGGACCTTCACCTCAGTTAGAGTCCGGGTGCAAGGGAGGGGGCAGCCCTGAGGTTCCCTACACAGTGGTACCCTGGATCCTCATGGAGTTTCCTCATTCCTTTTCACACTAAGCTAAGATTTGGGGTAGGGGGACAGAGTGAGACTGGAATGCCCCAAGACTTCTCCTATGGAGGTGCCATGGACACCCTTTCAAATGGGCCTCATACCCACAGCCTGTCTATGATGGCCAGATGCAGACTCAAGGCTCCCTATGTCCCCCCACCCCATCCCATTGTGTGGAAGAAGAAGGGGCACAGTGGTAGAGACACATCTGCCCAGGGGGCACCCCTCTAAATTATAGAGGAAGTTTTCCAGTTGTTCTATCCTATTTCAACTGTTTTCAGTTGTTCTACCCTATTTCCTCCTCCTGAAAAAATATGCTGCTGGCTCAGATGTCTTTTAACTTCTTGTTCATAGAGAAACACCAGTCAGTGAATCCTCAGTTGGAGGTGGAACTAATTGGGAAAAAGGTAAGTGTAGAAATGTTCTGAGACCTAGAGAGATTGGCACCTAGAAAAAGTAGTGTGGGCTGGGCGAGGTGGCTCATACCTGTAATCCCAGCACTTTGGGAGGCTGAAGTGGGCGGATCACAAGGTCAGGAGTTCGAGACCGGCCTGGCCAATATGGTGAAACCCCTTCTCTACTAAAAATACAAAAAATTAGCCAGGCATAGTGGCATATGCCTGTAGTCCCAGCTACTCGGGAGGCTTAGGCAGGAGAATTGCTTCAACCTAGGAGGCGGAGGTTGCAGTGAGCCAAGATCATGCCACTACACTCCAGCCTGGGTGACAGAGTAGGACTCTGTTTCAAAAAAAAAAAAAAAAAAGAAAGAAAGAAAGAAAAAGTAGTATGGAGGAGGAGAGTGGCCCAGTGGGCAAGACCACAGGAATCATCTCCCAGTCACCCACTGAGGGCAGCATGCACCCCTGCACTTGGAACTCTGTGCAGGCAAAGGCCATGTTTTATTCTCTGCATGCCGGATTCCACCCAAAACCCAAATACACTTGGAAGAATGAGTGACTGAATGAAACATGCCAACAAGTGAATATTAAAACTGTCGCCATCCCTCTGGGTCTCAGTTTCTTCATGTGTAAACGAAGGTTCTGGGCAAGAGAGTTGCTCACATTCCATGAACGTCTATGAATATGGAAGAGCATTTTCCAAAGTGTGCTGATGGGTGTCATGGGTAAAAAAGGGTCATATGTTCAAATTTGGAGAATGCTAGCTTAAAGTTAAATAGATTTGTCTCCAAATTCACCAAGCATAATTTTTGCCATATTCTACTTGTTGCAAGCAAGTCGTGAAATCAGGCCCACACATAAGAAGGGAGAAATTAATGTCTTTTTTTTTTTAAGAAGGAGTTTCACTCTTGTTGCCCACGCTGGAGTGAAATGGCACAATCTCGGCTCACCACAAACTCTGCCTCCCAGGTTCAAGTGATTCTCCTGCCTCAGTCTCCTGAGTAGCTGGGATTACAGGCATGAGCCACCAAACCTGGCTAATTTTGTATTTTTAGTAGAGATGGGGTTTCACCATGTCGGTCAGGCTGGTCTTGAACTCTTGACCTCAGGTGATCTGCCTGCCTCAGCCTCCCAAAGTGCTGGGAGGCATGAGCCACTGCTCCCTGCCAATTTCTATCTTTTGAAGGGAGGAGTACCAAAAATTTTGTGGACATATTTAAAACCACCATATTTCCCAGTGAGTGGTTGGATACCCTCAAAGCTAGGCGAAATGTTCTTGGGTGGTAAGTGACACACATTTTTCAAAAGTTTGATACTTCTGTGTTCATCTTAGTGTACCTTAAAAAGTTTAATAAGGTCAAGTATCATTAATTCAAGAAAGATGTTTGGGGAAAAAAAAGAAAAAAAATAAGGTCAAGTATCACTTGGTTTCGTAGATACCACTGATTACAAATGAAGTCAATTGATGGTTTTAAAAGAGGTATGCTGCTGCCATTAGCTGTGATTTGCCCATTTTTCTTTTGGGATCTTAGAATTTATCTAACAAAGTCTATGTGTATATACTAAGGTTAATAGCCCTATATCAATTTAAAAATGAAGTCTACTGAAAGCTGACTTAAGGAAAAATATGAGGAATCTGGATGTGGCAAACACTTCAGATAAACACACAAAGGACTGATGCTATTGCTGCTGAGAAGTTGTGCAGGTGTCTTGAGAGCAGGGATTAGCCCAAGCACCTCTGTGCTGTAGACAGTATCTGCTGGGGGTGGGGGCTGGACAGGAAGAGCTGGAAGGTGAGGCCAGTGGAGGGAGGAGGGGGCAGGCTGGCACCAACACTGCTTTGGGACATTCCAGCTCAGGACACATATGCAGACCCAAACCGACAACCCGATATGGAACCAGATCCTGACCTTCCAGATTCAGGTACAGTGCCTCCATCATGCCTGCCCTTCTCCCACATCCCCCAGCATAGAAGGGAAGTTTGGATGTTTGTGTGGGGGTGAAGACAGAAGGTGGGGGCCGAGAAGCACATCAAGGGGAACTCTGCCTGATAGGGAACATGAGGAAGCCCAGGACATATTATGGAAAACTTCACTTTTTACAGCTTTACTGAGGTGTCATTGGCATACAGTGACTTGTACATATTTAAAATGTATGGTTTGGCCGGGCACGGTGGCTTATACCTGTAATCTCAGCACTTTGGGAAGCTGAGGCAGGTGGATCACTTGAGATCTCGAGTTCAAGACTAGCCTGGCCAAAAATGGTGATACCTGACTCTACTAAAAAGATAAAAATTAGCTGGGCATGGTGGCATGCGCCAGAAGGTGAGGCAGAAGAATTGCTTGAACCCGGGAGGTGGAAGTTATAGTGAACTGAGCCCAGGTAGTATCACCGACTTACCTGAGCAAACACTTTAGCTAAGTAGGTGATAACAGCCTGTTGACCAAGCCAGAGCCACTGCACTCCAGCCTGCACAACAGAGGGAGACTCTGTCTCAGAAAAATAAAAATAAAGAAAATGTATAATTTGATGCATTTTAAAATATGTACACATCCAAGAAACCCATCATCACAGTCAACATAATAAATATATCATTCCCAAAAGTTGCCTAAAAGTTGCCTAATTCCCTTGGGAATCACTCCCTGTGATTCCCATTCCACCCTCTCTCATCCCCAGGCAACCACCAATCTGCTTTCTAGTTATTACATATTACCTTGCATTTCCTAGTATTTCATAGAAATAGAATCATTCAGTAAATACCCTTATTTGTCTGACTTCTTTCACACAGCATAATTATTCTGAAATTCATCCATGCTGTTGCTGTGTATCAGTGATTCATTCCTTTTTGTTGCTAATATTTCATTGGATAGATGTACCACAGTTTGCTTATCCCTTCCCTTGTTTAAGAACATTTCCATTCTGGGGATGTTACAATGAAGCTGTAAACACTTGTGTACAACCCTTAGTGTAGACATATGCTTTCCTTTCTCTTAGGTAAATATGTACACACAGATAACTAGATTCTATGATAGGTGTATGTTTAACTCTATCCAGTATTAAACAATGAGTGAGTCATACAACTGAACTCTCTAGATAACTGAAATGTGCCCTTTCACCCACATATAAAAACAAAACCAGGCTGGGTTCAAAGGCTCATCCCTGAAATCCCAGCACTTTGGGAGGTGGAGGTGGGTAGATTCGCTGAGGTCAGGAGTTAAGAGACCAGACTGACCAACATGAAGAAACCCCATCTCTGCTAAAAAAAATACAAAATTAGCCAGGTGTGGTGGTGCATGCCTGTAATCCCAACTACTCGGGAAGCTGAGGCAGGAGAATTGCTTGAACTCGGGAGGCAGAAGTTGCAGTGAGTGGAGATCACACTATTGCACACCAGCCTGGGCAAAAAGAACAAAACTCCATCTCAAAACAACAACAACAAACAAATCCCTTTAAAGACACATTTTAAATGATAATATGCATTTTCTTATCTTCTCAGAATATAATTAGAGCTTTTTGTTGATGGCCTGGAGCCATTATGAGAGCATAGTTATTATCTTGGGCTATCTGCAGTACCCAGCTGTTTCTACCCTAAATGGCTCCAAGCTGCTCTTCTTTGTGGGGTTCTGTAGTCTGATTTTGACCGTCTTTCAGTCTCCTCACCTATCAGCTGTTGTGGATGACAGTTCTCTTCAAGGTGGAGCCTTACTGGCTTTTGACTCTTAAGTCAGGCTTCTAAGAGCTGTGTGTAAAATAAGAGCACCGTTCCGAGAGATAACTTGAGCTCTCTCATAAGTGCAGACATGCAGAAATTTGTGTGACATGGATTTGGCAAGCCAGAAAGTATTTCTCTTTCTCATACCTGACAATGTGAAATATGAAATTAGCTAATGAGCTCCCCTTCTCCGTCCTGTGAATTCCCCTCCTTGCTGCTTCTAGTAGCTTCCCAGTCTGCCTCCTTGTGAGTCAGGATTTTCAACCATTCCTCATAATCCCTGCCTCCTTGGATTATTTTATATACTCTGAAAGTAGGAAGACATTTCAGAGGAGGCCTAGTCCATTCCCCATCCTTGCCAAGCTCCCTCCCGCCTTTTCCAGCCTGTGGTGAGGGCTCAGGGCCAGGATCCTCAGATGCTCTGTGGCTCCTCAGAGCCTTGGGAAATCCTTGTGTTCATCCTTTTTTTTACCCCTGAAACAGAGTTTCACTCTTGTCACCTAGGCTGGAGTCCAATGGCACAATCTCAGCTCACTGCAACCTCCGCCTCCTGGGTTCAAACTATTTTCCTGTCTCAGCCTCCCAAGCAGCTGGGACTGCAGGCGCCTGCCACCACACCCAGCTAATTTTCATATTTTTAGTAGAGATGGGGTTTCACCATGTTGGCCAGGTTGGTCTTGAACTCCTGACCTCAGGTGATCCGCCCACCTTGGCCTCCCTAAGTGCTCGGATTACAGGTGTGAGCCACTGTGCCCAGCTGTGTTCATCTTCTTACAGGCCAATGGCACAGGCCAGGCCCTCCCTCATCCCTGAGAAAGGCCTTCCAACATTTGAAGATGTCCAAACATCCCCTGGACCCTCACACATTTTCCCCAGAACACAGTCTCCAGGGTGGGGCTCTTTGGATACAGGCCTGATTGTCCCTAGCTCTTTAGAAATGCAGCAAGCAGGTATGAATCTCACTCTGAGAAGGCAGAACAGCCAACCACACAGATGGTAGCATCTGAGGTCAGGTGGTCAGAGGGGGAGCAGAGCCCGGAGCATTGCAGAAAACTGGCCTGTGCCAATGGTCAGTCCGAGGACCCCAGGGCAGAAGGGGAGGCAGTACACTAGATGAGGAACTGAGAAGCAGAAGGAGAATTCTTAGCAGGATGGATGGAAAGGTGTTTCCATTTATGGCGGCATAAATCTGAACTTGGAGGATTCTTAACTTTGGAAGACCTGGATGCCTTCTGGTGCCCATCTCTCCCCTTCCAATACCCTTCCTTAACCTGGGCAATTTCTTTCTTACTAACTAGCTGCTCACCTGGAAAGCCCTCTCCTCTTCTCCTTGGCCCCTTAGCTGTCAGGACACAGGGAGAATTGGATGAAGAAAATGGAGAACTGGGCCGGGCGTGGTGGCTCACGCCCATAATCTCAGCACTTTGGGAGGCCGAGATGGGCGGATCACCTGAGGTCAGGAGTTCAAGACCAGCCTGGCCAACATGGTGAAACCCTGTCTTTTTTTTTAATTAAAAATAGATTAAAAAAAGAAAACGGAGAGCTGGGAGGTTTCCAGCCATACCCCAAGAACTGCCGTAAGAAGAGGCCTCAGCTCAGAGGATTGAGGATTTGGGGTCCCACTTTGGACTCAATCCAGCAGCTCTATTTTACACATGGACACATGGATTTTTTCTTTTATTTCTTTTTCTTTTTTTTTTTGAGACAGTTGCCCAAGCTGGACTGGAGTGGCATGATCTCAGCTCACTGCAACCTCCACCTTCTGGGTTCAAGTAATTCTCATGCCTCAGCCTCCCGAGTAGCTGGGACTACATGTACGCGCCACTATGCCCAGCTAATTTTTTTGTATTTTTGGTAGAGACAGGGTCTCACTATTATTGCCCAGACTGGTCCTGAACTCCTGGTCTCAAGCAATCCTCCCATCTCAGCCTCCAAAGTTCTGGGATTACAGGCATGAACCACCATGCCTGGTCTCTTTTCTTTCTCTTTTTAAAAATAATTGAGGAAACCATATTGCAGAGTGTAGATAGGACACAGAAGCTTGGGTTGGAATCCTGACTCCACCCCTTCCTATGTGACTTTGAGCAAGTCTCTCTGCCTCTCTAGGCCTCGTTCCCCATCTCTTTATAGGGACAATCACAGCCTTCACTGGATTACAGCAGAGTGATTAAGAGCTCTGAGGCTTCAGCACTGCATGCAGCATAAGAACTTCAGGAACTCAGCCTCTCTGTATCTCAGTTTTCCCGTATGAAAATGAGAATAATAACAGCACCTGGTTTATGAGGTTTTTGGGAGCGCCCACCCAGCTCGTCTATAGAATTTATTTAGCACAAGCCAGGGACAACAGACACTATCCTAAAGCAGTAGTTATTATTATTTACTCTTTGGGGAGTCAAAGAGCAAATAATAATATACAGTAAATAATATAATGTCCGCCATGGTTAGGACGGACCCAGCTCTCTGAGGGGCCTGAAGCTTATGCAATTAGGGGACTTTTTTTTTTTTTTTTTTTTTTTTTGCTTTTTGAAACAGAGTCTCTCTCTGTCCCCTAGGTTGAAGTGCAGTGGCACAATCATGGTTCACTGCAGCTTCAACCTCATGGGCTCAAGCAGTCCTCCCACCTCAGCCTCCCGAGTAGCTGGGACTTTGGGTGAGTGCCACCACACCCAGCTAAGTTTTGTATTTTTTGTAGAGAGAGGATTCCATCATGTTGCCCAGACTGCTCTACTGATCTGCCCACTTCAGCCCCCAAAGTGCTGGGATTACAGGTGTGAGCCACTATGCCTGGCCAGGGGGCCATTTTAAGAATGAAAATACAGGCCAGGCACGGTGGCTCAAGCCTGTAATCCCAGCACTTTGGGAGGCCGAGACGGGTGGATCATGAGGTCAAGAGATCGAGACCATCTTGGTCAACATGGTGAGACCCCGACTCTACTAAAAATACAAAAAATTAGCTGGGCATGGTGGTGCGTGCCTGTAATCGCAGCTACTCAGGAGGCTGAGGCAGGAGAATTGCCTGAACCCAGGAGACGGAGGTTGCGGTGAGCCAAGATCGCGCCATTGCACTCCAGCCTGGGTAACGAGCGAAACTCCATCTCAAAAAAAAAAAAAAAGAATGAAAATACAAAATGATTATGTGACAAGTTCCAGGCCCCACCCAGAACCTTGCAAGGGGCCCATTCAAATGGGAGGCCCAGCTGGGCAAGGTGGCTCACATCTGTAATCCCAACATTTTGAGAGCCTGACACAGGAGGATTGCTTGAGCCCAGGAGTTCAAGACCAGCTTGGGCAACATAGTAAGTAATAATTTTTCTATAAAAAAAATTATTTTTAAATTAGCCAGGGTTGGCAGCACGTGCCTGTAGTCTCTCTCAGCTATTCAGGAGGCTGAGGTGGGAGGATCCTTTGAGCCTGAGAGGTGTAGGCTGCAGTGAGCTATGATCATGCCACTGTACTCCAGTCTGGGCGACAGAGACCCTGCCTCAAACAAAGCAAAACAAAACCCCAGAAAACAAATAAGAGGCCCTAAAGCCAAAGCTCCACTCACTGGGTGGTAAATCCAGCTTTTCTATGGCTCACTGGTAACTGAACCAGGACTTGGACCCAGACCTCCAACTCCCTACCTGCTCTTAAAATCTCCAGGAGGACCAGCCCATGCGAATATGCACCCACTGCTCCTCTCTCCTTCCCACCCCCGCAGCTACCCTGCCTCTCCAGCTACATCAAGTTCAGAATCTTGGACTGGTGAGCAACCTGGTGGAGGCTGAAGCACACAGGGAAGGAGGAAGGAAATGAGAGCTGGGCCTGGCGCTCAGGCTGTGGAGTGTGTTTCTCCCCAGCCACAGGAAGGACTGCCCGGATGAGATTGGGACTGCCAGCCTGTTCCTCAACCAGATCTCGTCCACCGGAGAAGAGATTGAAGGCAAGCAAAGTCTCGAGCCCACTTCCCATGCCCCTCGTCCTGCGCTGGACCCCTCTCACCTCTCTCCTTCCAGGAATGTACTCTGGCTTCCTGCCCTGCTTTGGCCCCAGCTTCCTGACTCTACACGGGGGTAAAAAGGCCCCTTTCAGGATCCAGGAAGAAGGCGCTGTAAGCTTCTCTCGTCAGCTCTAGGGGACAGTGGAGGTAGAACCGCCCCATGTAAAGCACTGGGGTCTGGGACGTGCCCTGAGACTCCGGCCCTGGTTTCTGTCCCCCGCGGTCTTATGGAGGACACGAAGCCCGTCCATGAGCAGCACGTGCATGTGGGACAGGTGTGGGGCCACAAGAAAGAGGCAGACATTCCTGTCTCCGTGTAAGCCAGTTCGAGTCGGGTTTCTGGCATTTCCCGCCATTCCTGAATAACCTGGTGCTTCCTCACACTTGCCTGTGCTGTGTCCTCTGTCCTGTGAGCCCTTCCCACCTACTGAAAAGGGGCAGGGGACCCTGATGGAAAAAATAAGGTTTCAGTTTAGGAAATGCCTAATCTGGGCCAGGCGCAGTGGCTCATGCCTGTAATCCCAGCACTTTGGGAGGCTGAGGCAGGAGGACCATTTGAGACCAGCCTGGGCAACATGGTGAAACCCCATCTCTACTAAAAAAAAAAAAAAAAAAAAAAAAGAGGAAAAAAAAGTTTACCTGGGCGTGGTGATGCGCACCTGGAGTCCCAGCTACTAGGGAAACCCTGTTCCCTGAGGAAGGGGCTTTAGGAGATGGCCACGGGTAAGATTTTCAGCAGGTGGGAAGGGCGTGAAGGACAGAGGACACCGCACAGGCAAGTGTGAGGAAGCACGGAGTTATTCAGGAATGGCAGGAAATGCCAGAAACTCGATTCGAACTGGCTTAAATGGAGACTAGAACAAGGCTGGATAGGATGCCGAGGAAGATCCAAAGGCACCGTGCTTCCAGGCCACTAGGAGGCTCTCCCTTTCTGTCCCTCGCCTCATTCCCTCCTCCCTCATTAAGGCCTCTGGTCTGGGAACTTCATACGCAGCCTCCAGCAGGGAAGGCCAGGGAAGCATTCTAATTGGCCTCCTTAGGTCATGTGTGCTCCCCTTGGACCAATCACTGTTGCCAAGGAGGCAGGGCAGGCTGATTGGCCAGGCCGGAGCGCAAACTCAGTGCTTATCACAGTTCCTGCCCAGGCTTGCGGGTACAGAAGAGGGCTTGGTGCCCAGAGGTTTTCTGGCGTGGAGGCATCTGAGGTGTCTGGAATTCTTCTCTGGGATTGTGGTTGGAGTCAGCCTCAGGCCAGCCGTGACTGGGCAACCTTGTCTTTGCCTCTGGGGTTTCAAAGGAGATTGGCCTGTTCTTTTTCTCTCATACCTTTGTTTTCCTCTCGCTTGCCCAGTGTATTCCTGACTCTGTTAGGGATGGTTTAGCTTATCGAGGCCGAGTCTTCCTGGAGTTAATCACCGAAATCAAGTTCCATCAAGACTCCACGATAAAGGATCTCTCCCATGAAGTGACCAGGATAGAGGTAACTGCGGGAAACAGGTAACCCAGGAAAAAAAAAAGCCCTGTCTGCCCCGGATCTACTGTGGATCCCAGTTTCTGACCGTCCAAAGAGGCCCTGGCCACAGGCTGTTGGGTGTGTAAGGATGCTTAATCAATTGGTCTGATTATTTTCTAAGCCCCTACCAGTGGCTTCGTGCTGCACCAAATCCCGGGTGGTTAGGGGACCCTGATGGAAAAGATAAGGTTTCAGTTTATGAAATGCCTAATCTGGGCCAGGCGCAGTAGCTTACGCCTGTAATCCCAGCACTTTGGGAGGCTGAGGCGGGAAGATAACTTGAGCCCAGGAGTTTGAGACCAGTCTGGGCAACATGGTGAAACCCGTCTCTACTAAAATAAAAAAAAAAAAAATTAAGGCTGGGCGCGGTGGCTCACGCTTGTAATCCCAGCCCGTTGGGAGGCTGAGGTGGGCAGATCATGAGGTCAGGAGATCGAGACCATCCTGACTAACACAGTGAAATCCCATCTCTACTAAAAACACAAAACATTAGCTGGGCATAGTGGCATGCGCCTGTAGTCCCAGCTACTCCAGGGGGCTGGGCTGAGGCAGGATAATAGCTTGAACCCAGGAGGCAGAGATTGCAGTGAGCCCAGATTGTGCAACTGCACTCCAGCCTGGGCAACAGAGCCAGACTTCATCTCAAAAATAAAATTTAGCTGGGCATGGTGGCGCGCACCTGTAGTCCCAGCTACCCAGGAGGCTGAGGCAGGAGAATTGTTTGAATTGTGGAGGCAGGGGTTGCAATGCAAGAATAGGGCAGAGGTTGGTAACAGAAACAAGAAGGGCTCATTCGATGGACAGGAGGCCCAAGATCAGGCCACTACCTTCAGCCTGGGCAACAGAGCAAGACTCTGTCTCAAAAAAGAAAGAAAGAAATGACTAATCTGGTTCAGACACAGTGGCTCACACGTGAAATCCCAGCACTTTGGGAGGCCTAGGTGGGTGAATGACTTGAGGTCAGGAGTTCGAGACCAGCCTGGCCAATATAGAGAAACCCCATCTCTACCAAAAAAAATACAAAAATTAGCCAGGCATGGTGGCTTGCACCTGTCGTCCCAGCTACTCAGGAGGCTGAGGCAGGAGAATCACTTGAACCCTCAAGGTGGAGGTTGCAGTGAACCAGGATCATGCCACTGCACTTCAGCCTGGGTGACAGAGTGAGACTCCGTCTCAAAAAAAAAAAAAAAAAGAATGCCTGATATGGTTAAGGAGAAATTGTGTTAATTCATGACCTAGTTTCTCAGGGCTTTGTAAAACAATCTAAGAGATTTTCTTCCTGAAGCTAGTGGAGGACTACTGAGGCAGGAAGGGGCAGGAGGAACAGTAACAACAGACTGGAGAAGAGTAAATTGGGGCCACCCAGTCAAGAGAAACAGGGATACAGCCTCGTTGGTAGAGAGCTGGAGAGGAGGTGAGTAGGTTTCAGAGACCCTTTGGAAACAGAATGGTCAGAGCCAGTCATCAACAGAACATAAGAAGTGAGGCTGACTCCGCTCACTGAGACCCATTTTCTGCCATGGATGACAAGGTGGTCAGGGGTGCAGTGCACCAAGGTGGGCTCTCTAAAGAAGGAGCATGTGTGAGGGAGATGAGGAACTCCATCTCTGACATATGCTGTGAGACATCAATACAGACCAGCTCTGGAGCCTGCTAGACACAGGGATGTGACATCAACACCAAGGTTTAAACCTGTGGTAGGGGAAGAAATTGCTCAAGGAGAGAAGGCGGAATGAAAGGAAAAGGAAGCTATAGAACACCACAGTCTAAGAAGCAAGTGAAGGAGGAGAAGGGGTTTACAGAAGAGGTTGGAAAGGAGCCTGCAGAGGAGAGTTGAAGAAAGGAGTGACCAGCAATCTTAAATGTGGCAGAGAAAAAGGGCGAAGACTGAAGGTGTCTGCTGGTAATATTAGGAAGATGTCAGTAGCCTTGGGTCAGGAGAGAAGCTAGGCTGCTATAGATGGGAGGGAGAGGTAGGAGCCAGTGCACAAACACAAAGCTTCTAAGAAACCCGATTGAAAAGCCAGGCATGGGAGGCTGAGATAGGAGAATCACTTGAGCCCAGGAGTTTGAGACCAACCTGGGCAACAAATGAAACCACATCTCTAAAAAATAATAATTTTTTTTTACATGGAAGCAAGAACAGGTGGTAGCTAAATAGAGGTTCAGATGGGAGAAGAAGAGTTATTATTTTTTAATAGGGGAAACCTGACCTAGTGAACAGACTGGGGGAATGCAAGAATAGGGCAGAGGTTGGTAACAGAAAAAAGAGGGGCTGATGCAATGGACAAGAGGCCCAAGCAAGCACCTGGTGAGAACAGCCAAAGTTCGGGGGGATAGTGGGCAGCTGGAGCAGGAAGTGGGAAGGTTCAACCTTTCTGGGAATATGAAGAGAGAGAGTGTGTGTGTGTGTGTGTGTCCTAAGCTCTATACCCCACCTACACTGTTTCTTCTGAGGGAAGGGGTTTAGGCAAAAAGGAAGAAGCATCTATACTTGGAGTGGGGATGGGGTGGCCCAACTTAGAGCCCACTCTGACAAGGGAGGAGACCACTCCCTCCCCTGCCACCCAATTTCAGAAAGGGAGGCTGGCTGGGTGGAGGGGCTAGGTGATGGAAGTCCTGGGAGGAACTTCCCTGGATCAGCCTGGTGCAAGGGAGCCTACGAAGGTCTTTGAGAGGGAAAGAAGGGAAGATGGCTTTGAAAGAGAGTACCCCCTCCTTGCCTCCCTGCCTGTCAGTATAACCCTTGGCTTATATACTGGGGATGGGGATGGGGTGGTTATTTTTTTAGAAGCACCAGAACCGCCAGAAGTATGGGCTGTGTGTCATCTTCCTCTCCTGTACCATGATGCCCAACTTTAAAGACCTGATCCAATTCGAGGTCAGCATCGGTCACTATGGGAACAAGATGGACCTGAATTACAAGCCTCTAGTCTCAAGCACACAGTACAGCCCAGTGATACATGATGGTAATTGTCAGACTCAGGCAAAGAATAGAGAGCAGCCACTGCATCCAGGTCCTGTGCTAGGCTCTCTCAAGGGTATTAGCTCATGGGAGAGTCATAGGCATTATTTACCTATATTTTACACATGAAAAAATGAGGTTCAGGGAGGTGAAATCACTTGCCAAACTATAGCTAGCAGGTGGTGAACCCAAGAATCGAAACTAGGTCTTGACATGAAGTCCTTCTTGCATTGCTTTCCACACTACAGCTTCTCCAAGCCCATCTTTTCCCTTACTACCGTGAACCACCTCCCATCCATCCATCCTCCAACCACCAATGCATGAATCCATCTATTTTTTATCCATCCATTCAGCCACTCAACTCCCACCCACCCACTTACCCAAACATCCAATCAGCTAACCTTCCAGCCATTCATTCACTCATCCAGTACATACTTATTAAACACCTATATTGAGCACTATAGAGCAGCAGTTCTCAGAGAGCAAACCCTGGGCCGGCAGCATCAGCATCACCGGGGGGCACCTGTTAGAAATGCAGATTCTTGACCCCACACTAGATCTAGAGACTCTGGTAACCTGGGGAAGAGGTCCCACAGCCTGTGTTTTGTCAAGCCCTCCAGGTGACTGCGGTGCATGCTTCACTTTGAGAACCACGGCTGCAGAGCTTTACTGTCTCACTTTCATCTTTTTTTCAGCTTTACTATCTCATCACCCATTCCAAGCCTTTCCATGCATCCTACTTCCCTACCTGTCTTTTTTTTTTTAAGCTTTATTGAGATATAATTCACAAACCATACAATTCACCCATTTAACTTTGTACAATAGTTTTTCAGCATATTCACAGAGTTGTACAACCATCACCACAAATTTTAGAACATTTCCTCACTGGAAAAGGAAACCTGTGCCCATTGGCATTCACCCCCCCACTTATCTCCCAACCTCCCCAGCCCCAGGCAACCACAATCTATTTCTGTGATCGTAGATTTTCCTATTCCAGACATGTCATATATGGAATATATAATATGTGCTTCTTTGTGAATGACTTCTTTCACTTAGGGTGATCTACTTGATTTTTATATCATGAAATATGCATGCAAAATGCATATGAAATGTATATTTGTAGTTTAAAGAAGATTAATAAAATGAGGGTGGCTGAGGTGAGAGGATCACCTGAGCCTGGGAGGTGAAGGTTGCAGTGAGCCAAGATCAAACCACTGCACTCTAGCCTGGATGACAGAGTGAGACCCTGTTTAACCAAAAAATAAATAATAATAATAATAAAATGAGTGCCCATGAACTCAGCACCCCGCTTAAAATATAGAAAACTATCAGCATCTTAGAAGGGGTCTCTGTTTCCTAAGTAACCATGACCCTGACTCTTGGATTAATTATCTTCTTGCTTTTCTTTTTAATTCTTTGCCTATGAATTAAATTCTAAACATCATGCTGTTTTCATATTTTACACAAATGGACGTTTTCCATCTGTGTTCATCTGTCTTACATTTTCTGCTCAATATTAAACTTTGTATGTGGGTTATGTGTACCGCAGTTCATTTTCACTTCTGCATATATTCCACAGTGTGCTCATACCGCAAAGTATTGGTGTATGTAGACATTTAGGTTGTATCTTTTTTGCTATTACAATAATTTTGTTATAAACATTCTTGTGCATGTCTCCTGATTACAAATCCAAGACTTCCTCTAAATTATATACCTAGGAGTGGAAGAGAAACTCAAAGCAAAAGTGATTATACCAAATTACACTCTCCTATGCATGGTATGAGAATTCCTGTTACTCTGCGTTCTCACCAGTACTTGATGTTGCCCAGCCTTATTTTTTTTAATTAATTTTTTTTTTGAGATGGAGTCTTGCTCTGTTGCATTGGAGTGCAATGGCGTGATCTCAGCTCACTGCAACCTCCACCTCCCGAGTTCAAGCAGTTCTCCTACCTCAGCCTCCTGAGTAGCTGGGACTACAGGCATGTGCCACCATGCCCGGCTAATTTTTGTATTTTTAGTAGAGATGTGGTTTTGCCATTTTGGCCAGGCTGGTCTCAAACTCCTGACCTCAGGTGATCCGCCCACCTCAGTGTCTCAAAGTGCTGGGATTACAGGTGTGAACCACTGCCTTTTAAGTTTTTCCCAATCTGGTAGATGTGAAATGGTATCCCCCGTGGCCTTAATTTGCATTTTTCTGATTATAAATGAGGGTTGGGCATCTTTTCATATGTATACAGACAGTTGTTTTTCCTTATCTGTAAAAAATCTTATGCATATCTTTTATCCATTATTACATTTGGCTATATTTTTCTTATTTATTTGTACATTATTTGTTCCAGGAAACAATCTTTTGCCAAGTGTTATAAATATGAAATATATTATCCAAGTTTGTGAGGTGTTTTTTGTTTTTTGAGACGGAGTTTCACTGTTGTTACCCAGACTGGAGTGCAATGGCACGATCTCAGGTCACCGCAACCTCCGCCTTCTGGGTTCAAGCAATTCTCCTGCCTCAGCCTCCCGAGTAGCTGGGACTACAGGCGTGCACCACCATGCCCAGCTAATTTTTGTATTTTTAGTAGACAGGGTTTCACCTTGTTGACCAGGATGGTCTTGATCTCTTGACCTCATGATCCACCCGCCTTGGCCTCCCAAATTACTGGGATTATAGGCATGAGCCACCGAGCCCGGCCTGTGAGGTGGTTTTTTATTCTTTTATTGGCAACTTTTTTATTTTTTATTTTTAAACTGAGTCTCATTTTGTCACCCAGGCTGGAGTGCAGTGGCACGATCTTGGCTCACTGCAATCTCCGCCTCCTGAGTTCAAGCAGTTCTCTGCCTCAGCCTCTAAGTAGCTCGGATTACAGGTGCCCACCACCATGCCTGGCTAATTTTCATATTTTTAGTAGAGACAATGTTTCACCTTCTTGGCCAAGCTGGTCTTGAAACTCTTAACCTCATGATCCACCCGCCTCAGCGTCCCAAAGTGCTGGGATTACAGGTGTGAGCCACCTCGCCTGGCCTTTTTTTGAGGGGGGACAGGGTCTCACTCTGTCACCCAGGCTGGAGTGCCACTTCTCAGCTCACTGCAACCTCCACCTCCTGGGTTCAAGCGATTCTTGTGCCTCAGCTTCCCAAGTAGCTGGGACTACAGGCATGTGCCACCATGTCTGGTGAATTTTGGTATTTCTTTTTTAGTCGAGACAGGATTTCACCATGTTTTTTGCCAGGCTGATCTTGACTCCCGGCCTCAAGCTATCCACCCGCCTTAGTGCTGGAATTACAAAGTGCTGGAATTACAGCTGTGAGCTAACACACCCAGCCTAGACTTCGTATTTTTAAAATTTGTTTTGTTTTGTTTTGTTTTGAGATGGAGTCTCACTCTGTTGCCCAGGCTGGAGTGCAGTAGCACAATCTCAGCTCACTGCAACCTCCACCTCCCGGGTTCACTCAATTCTCCTGCTTCAGCCTCTGGAGTCGCTGGAACTACAGGCCTTTGCCATTACGCCCAGCTAATTTTAGTATTTTTAGTAGAGACAGGTTTCACCATATTGGCCAGGCTGGCCTTGAACTGCTGACCTCAAGTGATCTGTTCACCTTAGCCTCCCAAAGTGCTGGGTTTACCGGCATGAGACATTGTGCCCCGCCTATTTTAAAATTGTTTATGGAGATAGGGTCTCACCTTGTTGCCCAGGCTGGTCTTGAACTCCAAATGATCCTCCCACATCAGCCTCCTAAAGTGCTGGGATTATAGTCATGAGCCATCATATCCTGCCTATTATTTTGTTTTGAGGTATTGTTTACAAAAATAAAATGCACAGGTTTAAAATGTACTGTTTCAGCCAGGCACGGTGGCTCACGCCTGTAATCCCAGCACTTTGGAAGGCCGAGGTATGCAAATCATGTGAGATCAAGAGTTTGAGACCAGCCTAACATGGTGAAACCCTGTCTTTACTAAAAATACAAAAATTAGCAGGGCATGGTGGTGAGCACCTGTAATCCCAGCTACTTGGGAGGCAGAGGCAGGAGAATCTCTTGAACCTGGGAGGCGGAGGCAGTGAGCTGACTTGATGCCATCGCACTCCAACCTGGGTAACAGAGACTCTGTCTCAAATAATAATAATAATAAAATAAAATAAAATAAAATGTACTGTTTGATAATCTTTGACAAACACAACTGTGTAACCACTATGGCTAGAGATTTCCATCACCCCAGAAAGCTGTTGCGTGTTTGTTTTCAGTCAGTTCCCTCTGGGGCAATCATAGTGATATTTAAATAGATTCCATTGGCTTCTTTTACAACATCATATAAATGAAATCGTATATACAGTACTCTTCCTGTGGCTTATTTTGCTTAGTGTAGTGTTTTAGAGATTCATCTGTGTTGTGGCATAGACCAATATTTTCCTCGTTATTTCATTATATAATTATGATAGTTTATTCATTGACCTGTTTGTGAACATTTGGATTGATTCAAGTTTTGGAGTATTATGAATAAAGTTGCTATGAACATTCTTGTACAAGTCTTTTATAAAGATGTGCTTCCAGTACTCTTAGGTAAATACTTAGAGATGGAATTTGGTTTTATAAGAAAATGCCTAACACTTTCAAAAGTGGTTGTACTATTTTACATCCCCATTGCAATGTTCGAGAACTCCATTTGCTCCACATTTCTTCCAACTTTTGATATTTCTTTACTTTATTTTCTTTTTTTTTGAGACAGAGTTTCGCTCTTGTTACCCAGGCTGGAGTGCAATGGCGCGATCTCGGCTCACCGCAACCTCCACCTCCTGGGTTCAGGCAATTCTCCTGCCTCAGCCTCCTCAGTAGCTGGGATTACAGGCACGCACCACCATGCCCAGCTAATTTTTTGTATTTTTAGTAGAGACGGGTTTCACCATGTTGACCAGGATGGTCTTGATCTCTTGACCTCGTGATCCGCCTGCCTCGGCCTCCCAAAGTGCTGGGATTACAGGCTTGAGCCACCGCACCCGGCCCCAACTTTTG